GCGTTTGCACTGCAAGGAGGTTTTGAACTGCTGCCTGATATGACTGTCAGTTTTTCTAACTTGTATTTCTCACCTCGGTCCCCATGAAGCACATTTGACAATAATTAATTTTGTGTGTGCAACTGGGAATGCATCCTACTCCTGCAGAGGTGGCAGCTTAATGGCATGTGGCTATGCAGGATAACAGGCTGTGCCGCCCCATTGGGGGATTGGGGTTGGAGGGTCATCTGTTCATCTAGTCTAATATTTTAATTGTTGGAGCACTAGGTTTCCCAGAGTTGAAGTGGGATCAGATTAACCTCTGTCTCTCTGAACTTATGTGCTGGCAAGCTCCTTAAATGCTATTGCTAATTTTATTTTCTCTTTTCAGCATGTATTTAAGACAACTCTTTGTTTTTAATAGGTTAGAGAGGAAATATTCTCACTGGCTGAGATCCCAGCGAACAATTACAAATATTTTACATTAGTTACAGGACTTGGAATTCAACCTTAGAGACCATGGGCATAAGAAAATCCACGCATTGAAGTTCCACATACTGCGAGGGTGGAAGTTTCACATGGATAGGAGTGAATTGCTCCTCATTTTTACCGAAGTCAAACTCCTGATGTAATAAATAAATACATTCTTATAAGGAAAATCTCTGCCTGCAGCTATCAACTATACCAGTTAGAGAATGGTTAATTGACCTTCTTCATCTCTACTGCATGTTAACGCGGAAGGTCAGAGATGGAAGAGGCTGGGTCCAGACTGAAGGCTTTTGAAATAGCTCCCTAACTAGCCTAATGAATATGCTGTTGAGATGAACAGGTCATTTAGCACTTTTCTTGTCGCTATTGTCCATCCAACCTTAAATGTCAGCTCTGTCACTCTGATGGGCTGGTTTTGCTTAAAAAGGTTTCCTGGCTTTGTTAGGTTCCTAGGAGGGATTTCCCCCCCTTCATTTCTAATTACTGGCAGCACCCCGCGGATGTGTGTATCAGCCTTTTCATTCGGGTCAAGTCTTCACTAGAGGACTTTGCCAGTGGGTAAGGGTTGTGAAGAGATGCGATCCAGACAGAAATGCAAGTGCCAAATGGTTGTAATTACACTGCTAAAACTGCAGCTTCCCAACCACAGTGGGAAGAGCTAAGAGCAGGGCGGTTTTGACATGCTGCTGTAAGGAGCACGTTGCGATACACTGGGACTGCAGCATCCACACCAGAAGCATTTTACAGACCTGGTGACACTGAGCCTTCAAGCCTGGGACAGGTCGCATGGCAGGGACCATTCACCAGCACCTGTAACCCCCAGCGGAGGTGGGCAGTTCCCACTGGTGTTTCTACAGGGGCATTGAGCACATCTTTGGCATGCTGATGTTGGATACCCAGGTTGCTTGAATAAACATTACAGGAACGGAGTTACATGCTTGATAGGACTGAATATTTACCAGAAGTGTATTCATGAACTTCTTCACCCTGTGAGCAGCAAGCATGTGTACTCGTCTTGTTCCTGTGACCCACTGTACCTTGTCAGTGTTACGGGTGATGCTACCTGTGATCAAGATGGCCAAAACAAGCAGCATGCTGCACTCTGACCCCTGTTGGACAAATCCAACAAAGACACAGCACCAGTTCAAACCTACTATTGGGCTGAAATCATCCCAACTGCTGAGCAAAGCATGGCACAGAGGTCAAGTGGAAATCAGTGTCAAGCAAATGTTCTGCACTGAGGCAAGCTGGGTGCAGATTGGGAAGGTCACTGAACGTCTTGGGGAATATTCATATTCTGTTGTCCTGTGAGATCCCTCTGAAGTATTCATGGTTTCACCGATGAGAAGGGGTCGAGGTGCGTTGGAAGAATGGCTAGTTGAACCATGGAACTGGTGCTGATGAACATGCAGTTTCCATATTCCACTCATTATATGAGCACTTCCACAAATACCCTTTCAACACTTCTGATTTCTGAAGGGCTTAAATACATGGTGAACCATACTTCATTAGCAACCTGACATGACTGGAGCAGGACAGACAGAGCTGAGATGCCCATCCCCAGCAAGCTGCGTAGTGTTCAGACAAGATCCAGCTGTTGGCTGAAAACAGGTGAACTTAACCTAGACCTCAGGCACTTCTGGGGAGCAGAAGAAAGAATTTCATTTGTAACTGTGGATGGCTTTTCTGTATCTGTGTATAATGCATTGATTTGTTGGAGTCCTCAGTAGCTCCCAGACTCTTTCACAGCAGCCTCCCAGTTCTAATCATCTCTAGCTGAGGAGGAGATGTCATTCCACGTTGGCAGGTATTGACTTGGCCTCAACAATTCGCAGCTCTGTTGTTTCCTGGAAAGCACCAACACAACCTACAGAGAAAGGAAGCCTTCAGTGCTTGGCAGTGCCAGCTGGGACAAGACTTTGCAGTCAGTCTTCTCGGCAAGTGTTTGAAGCTGTCTGCTTGCTTTGGTACCTCACCTTCAATTTTATGTCTCAGTCCTTACTTACGCTCTAGGTACTGTCTGACCTGGGTCTTGCTGTGGAATGCAGAGTATGGCTTACAGGTGCTTGAAAATGCAGTATATATTTGCAGAATAAAGCCTGTCTGTAGCAACTGTGGGGGTCAGGTCACCCTTTCTGAAGGGTGTGCATTGAACTCTCTTTGCATCCTGGGATCGTTGCAAGCCTTTCAAGAGCCAGGCATCCTGATGTTTCTTCTAGTTTCTCATGTTTACTATAGCATAAGGACGTGATAGTCTGTATTAATATATATATATATATATGGAAAATCCTAACAACTGCCAAACTCATACTTCTTAGGAGATAAGGAATGACTCCCTCCCTTTCCTCATCCCAGTTACTGAGACATGGATATTTTGTTAAGATGCATTTGGGCAGGAGAGTAGAGCTGGTCCTTGGATGAGCTGCCATCCAAACAGGTGCTGTCTGATCCTGGCTGTACGTGGCTGCATCCTCACTGCCTTGGCTCTGGGACTCACCCAACTCCCTGTTACATTGGTTTGGTTCACTAAACCAGCAAAAAAATTTATCTGAGAAAAAAGGTGAAGTGTGGGGCTCTGGTTTTGTGAGGTTAGTGAGTTGTGTTGGCTCTCAGGGCTCAGGTGCCAGAGCCAGGCTGTGGGAGGAAGCGGGATCGCATGGCCTGGAAGGTGTTGTGGCAAAGCGTTAAGTTTGCTCAGCTAATTTTCTGGGCCGTTTTCTTAGTGCACCACAGGAAGGTGCTCAGACGCTGGGCCAGGTGCAGTATGTGGTGCAGAGGACACTTGGTGGAGATTTGTTTCGGCAGTGGCAGCTCTGGGGATGAGTAGGTGTGTTTCCTGGGGCGTTACGTTCACCTGTTTGTTACTCAGCCCTCCAATGCTTTCAAAACTATGCTGCGAGTGCTGGGACAAAGCCTTCCACCCGATTATCTGTCAGCTACCAAATATCTCCTTTGCCCCTTGACCAGCTGACCTTCCTAAAACAGGCATCTCAGGAACTGTTTCTCTTGGCCTATGAGAAATGGGAGGGATGCTCAGGAGGTGATGGGCAGGGCTGCTCCAGCCTGGTGTGCTCTATAGGCTTGTCATAACTTTAGAAAGAAGGTGTTTCACAGCAAAAAACCATACAATTCCAGAGCCAAATTAAAAAAAAAAAAAAAAAAAAAAAAAAAAAAGCCTTAATTATTCAACTAGTTTGAAATGCTTTTTAAAGTATCCCTAAAAATAGGTGAGAGGGATGTTTGTCAGCTACAAAGAGATCATCTCGCAGTAGTGTTGCTTATGTTATTTTATGATGATGCTACAGAATACAGTCCCTGAGGTAGGCTCATTAATGTTTATGAATGAGCCCCTTGTTTTAAGCTTTTGGTTAGAGAACGTGGAAGTAGGGCGAGAGGAGAGCTGGGCTGGTTCTGCAGGGCACTCTGCAGGGCCCAGGGCAGCACGGGAGATCGTTGCAGACCTCAACAGCTTCAGAGTGCAGTTGACAACTGGGATTGGGCCGAGAAGGAGCAGGACTTCGGCTAAATTTTCGGCGAAACTCTGCGCCTTCCCAGAGGGTCAGCACGCAGGAGGTTTACGTGGCTGTGTCTCGTCGGGCGTTCTGATGTGATCTCTTCCAGCACAGTCAACCTGCGGCTGCGTGCTGTGAGGGCTCGCTGTGAACCCGCTGCCTGGCGGGGCTCCTTGTCACTATCTGTTCCTTAAAGAGGGCAACCGCTCCTTCTGGCTATCTGTGCGCGCCTTCCACCCCGGCTCTAGATCAACAGCTCGGTTCTGCGAGCCGGCCCCAGGGGCAGCCCGGCGGAGGAAACTGCCCTTCCTTCAAGGCAGCGGGATACCGTGGGCTGGCGCTGGCTTAGTTTCGGCCCCGAGCGCGTGTTGGGGTTCTGGGCGCTCGGCCGGCCCGCGCGGTGCTGGTCCCGCTCCGACGGGTCGGTGCCGGGAGATGCGGAGCAGCGGCTGCCGCGCCAGCGATGTGCTGCCGGGCAGCCCGTCCTGTCAGCAGCGGGACGGGGCTCGCCGGCTGTCGTGCCCGACAGAACCGAACTCCGCAGTCTGGGCTAGCGAAGTGGGCATCGGGCCCTCGCGGCCCCGAGGCGGGAGCCACCGAGGAGCGGCTGCTGGATGCGGCTGCTCCCCACGGCGCAGCTGGGGCTCTCCGTTCATCCCTGCAGCCCCGCTGCCCTCTCTCGCGCCGCGCCGCTTTGCGGACCGCTTCCTAAACGGGGCAGAGAGCGCGGCGCCGCCAAGAGCCCCCGCGGTGGGAGCGGCCCCGAACTCGACCCCGTCCTTCTGGGGGACACCCGTATAGAGGAATCGCCGCGGCCACGTGGCGGGATTCGCTCTTCGGGGCGCGCGCCCCACCACCTCCCCCGGAGCGCGCCGGGCCGCGCTCCCCGTTCCCCGGCGGGCGCCCGTTTTGAACAAATGACCTCACCCGCGCCCGCCAACCGCCGCGCTGCCGCGCTTAATATTCATGAGGCGGCGCGCCAATCGGCGGGCGAGGAGGTTGTTTTAAACGGCGGAGCCCCGCAGCCAATCAGGCCGCTCTCGTAGGCAGCCAACGCGAGGCTGAGCCGCGCCGAGCCCGCGCCGTGCCCTGCGCTCAGCTCCTGCCACACTGCCGCGAACAATACAGGTACGTGCGGCCCCGCCGCAACTTTTCGGGGGGCGGCTGCCCCCTGTGCGCCGCGCCCCGCCCTGCCCCGCGCTCTCGCCCCTCTCCTCTCGCTGTACCGGGGCTTTTTTTT